TTGGGTACATGCCTAGAGTGGAATTGCTGGGTCCTATATAGTTTTTAATTTTTAACTTTTTTGAGGAATTGCTTGTTTTTCATAGCAGCTGCATCATCTTACATTTCCACCAGTAGTGTATGGGCTCCAGTTTTCTCTCCATCCTTGCCAACTCTTTTTTGAGCGAGAGGGAGCAAGTGGGGGGAGGGGCAGAGGGAGAGAATTTCTTTTTTTAAGATTTATTATTTTAGAAAGTGCAGGGTGGGGTAGAGGGAGAGAGAGAATCTCAAGCAGACTCTGCACTGAGTGCAGAGCCTGACCTGTGGGGCTCAATCTCAGATACATGATTCGCAAATATTTTCCCCCTTTTCTGTAAGTTGTCTTTTCACTTTCTTGTTAATGTCTTTTGTACAAAAGTGTTTAATTTTTGATGAAGTCAGATTTATCTGTTTCATGTTTTCTTTTGTTGCTCTTGTTTTTGGTGGTATATATAAGAATCCATTGCCAAGTCCAAAGTCATGAAGATTTTTTTTCCTGTGTTTTTCTTACGAGAATTTTATCAGCTTAGCTTTTATGATCATTGACCCATTTGAATTGGTTCTGTGGTTCTAGATTTGCAAAAGAAAGATAAGATTCAATGCATATCCATTCCTCTCTTTCAAGAAAAAAGAAAAAGAACAAGGACAAGTAATACTTCAGTCAAAACTTGATAACCAAAGGTTAAAATATAGCTAGCTGTCTTTGGTTTTCCTAGAACAGTGTTGACCTTCTTTATTTCCTCTTCTCATACCTGTCTCCACTCTGTCTACATATACAACCACTCAATATGACCTCCATCTTGCAGTGATCAAGTGTGATTTGTCCTATCCAGACTCTAAGCTTACAATCTCACATTACGTACACATTGTGAACACTGATCCCAGTCTTCTTGTGGCTCTGTTAGAAGTCCAGACATCACATACTAAGCAGGTAGTACCTGCAAACCAGCCTAGCAAAGGTATGTCAGTGAAATCCATGCAGAATCTGTGAAGACGTAGTATTTCTCAACTCTTAACTTCACATCAGAAGCAACTGAAGAGATTAAAAAATAAGCCCACCCCAGACCAAGTGGAATTGTTATATCTGGCTAAAGTCAAGCATGATTTTGTAAAGCTGAAGTGATTGTAATATGCTGCCAGCACTAGACCCACAGATTTAAAGGGAAATGAGAATTTATTAGTCACTTAAGGCAGTGTTTCTCAACATCATTGTGCGTGTGACCTGTGGTCTTGTTAAAATGTGAATTTATATTCAAAAACTAACTCAGAATGGATCCAAGACATAAATGTAAGAGCTAAAACTATAAAAACCCTGAGAAGAAACAAAGGTGTAGATCTTCCTAACTTTGGACTGGGCAGTGGTTTCTTAGCTAGGATTCCAAAAACAAGCAACCAATGAAAAATAAGTTGGACTTCAGCAAACTTGAATTCTGTACTTCAAAGGTGGTAAGTAAACAACCCCACAGAATTGGCAGACAGTGTATCTGTTAAGAATCTACTATCCAGGGCAGCCCGGGTGGCTCAGCGGTTTAGCACTGCCTTCAGCTCAGGGCCTGGTCCTGGAGACCTGGGATGGAGTCCCGTGTCGGGTTCCCTACATGGAGCCTGCTTCTCCCTCTGCCTGTGTTTCTGCGCCTCTCATGAATAAATAAATAAACAGACAAACAAATAAATAAATAATAAAAAGAATCTATTCAGGATATATAAAGAACTCTTACAATGCAACAATACAAAGAGATAAAACAACCCTATTTAAAAAGGCACAAAGGATTTGAATAGACATTTCTCCAAAGATGATAAGCAAATAGCCAAATACGTACATGAAAAGATGTTCAACATCATTAGGGAAATGCACATCCAAACCTTAATGAGATGCCATTTTACATCTGCTAGGATGGCCATATACACAAAGAAAGTGACAAGCGTTGGTAGGGTTGCTAGTGGGAATGTAAAATGATGTAGCTACTTGGAAACCAGTTAAGCAGTCTTTTAAAAGGTTAACCACAGGAGCCCCAACTACAGAAGGAAGAGGTATAGATGCTTAGAGATTAATCCACTAGTTCTCTGTTACTCAGACCTCAGTATAATCAACTGCTCCAACCTGACCCTTACTTAAAATGGAAAGCCTACCAAATTCTCACTTCTTGAGAAGGGAAATTCAAGTTAAACACTGAGCTCTGTTTGTGTCCTACAGATATATGTGTCCTCAACTACTTCACATCTAGGCCTAACAGATCTTAGGGATGATGATCTCTGATGATTAGAGGGAAGGCAGGCATTGCCTGTCATCCAGGAGCTGGCCTACTACTAAAATTGAGGTCTCTTTGTCCTGCTGAATAATTTTGCCAAATACCTACATAGTTACAAGACTGCTCAGTGACCAAAGTCAAAAGACCCATTGTGCAATTGTGCCTGCTCACAGAGAAAACCATGAACATTATCCAGTCCACAAAAATGACCAGTACCTCCCTGTCCTGGCTAATACACTTCTTGATGAATGATAGCTTTAGCCTCAGTTTATTTCTCTCACCTTAAGATCCCAGTGATTCTCCAATTCCTCTGCAGCTTCCTTGAATCCTCCCTCAAATCACCTAATCTGTTCATCCAAAACATAAGTCCTTTTGTGACATCCTTTTTTTTTTTTTTTTTTTTTTTAGATTTTATTTATTCATGAGAGAGACAGAGAGGCAGAGACACAGGCAGAGGGAGAAGCAGGCTCTGGGAGCCTGACGCGGGACTTGATCCTGAGACCAGGATCATGCCCTGAGCAAAGGTAGACACTCAACTGCTGAGCCACCCAGGCATCCCCTTTTGTGACATCTTAACTGCACCCCCCACCCCGTGATTCTGAAGGTTTGTTCTCCCTTATTCAATGAGCAATAAACCCAACTTGTATAATGCCAGTGTGTTCCTGTATCATTGGGCTGAGTAGTGGCTGCCCTTTTTAGATAAGGCACGCATTATCTGTTGTGTCATAGCCCTTGACACTACCTGATGTCTGCTATATACCACCGTTACTGTTTTTTCTAGGCCCTCTGGGCATTCAAATGTGTGGGCCCTACCACTGACTGTCACAATTTGGGGACATACCCTCCACTACCTCCACCACCACCTCATTGGATCCTTAGTTGAGCTATGTGTTAGGTGTTCACATTAGGTCTTGGGTCCTTCTGAGTGATGGCCTATGACTTTCCAACCTTAACCCAGAAAGTAAAATTCAGTTTCTGCAGCATTTAAGGTTGCTGGGGGAGAACTTCACTGGAGGGATTGAAGATTGTCTGGAAATTGACACCAGGCTACATTTTACACTTGAGATGCTGTAAAGGTTGAAACCCCTCCCTACTTGGAGGCCCAACACAACTTGTAGGCTGGACGTCTAGTATTCTCTTCCTTGGTAATGGCTGGGCATTCATTATGCCCACAAAACAGTTAATACTTAAATTTCAATCATTTTGAACATACAGATCTGCCATTCAGTGAAGGGAGAATAAACCTGCACAGTAGTGTCAAAACATGAAAATCTCTGGGTGATGGTACCTTTGATTAAAGCCAAGCCTGTTGGGGTCCCTGGGTGGCTCAGTGGTTTAGCACCTGCCTTCGGCCCAGGGCGTGATCCTGGAGCCCCAGGATCGAGTCTGGCATCAGGCTCCCTGTATGGAGCCTGCTTCTCCCTCTGCTTATGTCTCTGCCTCTCTCTCTGTGTCTCTCATGAATAAATAAATAAAATCTTAAAAAGAAAAATAAAGCCAGCCTGTTCTAATCTCTCCCTTCTGGCCCTTCCATTCCAGGGAAGATAGATTGCTCATCAGAGCAGTCTCTAGAGAATCCGGGCCTGACGGTATGAGTTCTAGGCCTCTGGGGCACTGGTGACACCCTGTAGTGGTGTCTTGCCCATAGTTATCCAGTGAGTGTATGGCAGTGTTGTACCTGGAGCTCAGCGTCTCCTGACTCCAGAGCCGGTGCACAGCCCATCTCAGAGTCTCGACAGGCTCCGAGGGCTCGGCAGGGGTGTTAGCAGAGCCTGGCAGCAGTTAAGGAGGAGGACCTGTTAAATCCCAAAGACTTAAGATTCACATTCTAAGCAGGGGTTCATAAGCTCCTCACAGTCTGAAAAGCAGAGGAGTGGAGTTTGTCCTGTGGCCACACTCCGTCAGCCTCCAGGGAGTGACAGGTGTAACAAGGGCTGGCTAGTGGTGTCCGTTTCGGCCTCCGCACTGTGCGTGTATTCTCTCAGTTCTAACTTGACGAGGCAGGTGGTGCTTTATAGGAAAGGAAGAAGTACCGACTGGAGTGGGGGGTGAGATGGGAGAAGTCCTGCCAGAGGGGTGTTAAGTGGTATTTGCAGAGTGGGGAAAATCACTGGCGTCTGTTTTGAGCCACAGCAAACAAGTCTCCCCGGCCCCTTCTTTCCAGGTCGTGGAGGCTGAGCAGGGTATGGTCAGGGCCAGGCGGGGAGCAGCAGGGACAGGACGGAGGGGCTGCCTGCGGGAGGTGTTCTCCAGGGCTGGGAGCTCAAGTGTGCCGGCCGTGCTCCGCGGGCCACCAGGGGGCAGTACTAGCCCACGCCTTGTCCTCCGTGTGGCCTTCTTGGGAAGATTGGAGCAGTGGTTCTCAACCCCAGCAGAATCCGTGCCTCTGGTTATTTTTAACAGCAATTTTTTGATACCCCCCATAACCACTTTGCAGTGAGACTGATGGCTAATAAAACCCCAGCAAATACTGAATAGGACACCTTAACTATAACAAAGGGAAAGTAACTTGTAATAAACTAATGAGTTTCAATATGTAACATTGGGACACAGTTACCCTAAAGCAACCTAGTGGAGCAGTTGGGTGCTTGTGCCTGTGGGCAGGTAAGGGTGTCGATGGAGCGTGATGGAGCATGTTATATTCGTGATGGGAAAATACATCATGATCTTCTGAAATGGTAAACAATTTGTGGTAAAAAAAAAAAAAAAAAAAGAATACAATTGCTCCTTTATGGTATTCTCAGAAACTTCATTGTATGGTACAACTGCAAAAAAACATTTTTATTGAGGGATATGATAGATTCTGTGTTCCTGTAATCATAAACAGGCTTTTTCACTAGGTCCTACGTGACAGTCCAGCAGGATGAAAATCAATTCCTTTTTGGGAGTAGCTGCTTTCACCGAGAACTCTGGCCTGGGCCAGAGGCTATGAGATACCCCATCTTTCCACCCCAATGGAAGCCAGCTGAGAACCAGAGCTTTGTGTTACCCTGTAGGTCCTTAGACCCTGCAGAGTGCCCATCACAGTACTCAATCCAGACTCACTGAGTGCAGTGGACAATCACCGAGTCCTTCCTCTATGTTGGGGGGACTCTCGGCCTGCCTGAGTATGTTGACTGGCCTACTGGAGAGCTCAGATGCTGAGCAGTGACGGTTGACAGAGACTGAAGCCAGGCAGGAGCTGCCTCTCTAGTCACCTGGCAGAGAGGAAAACCTGAGGCTTAAACTTCAGTTTTCTTAAGCAAGGTCTGTCTACCCAGAAGGGTTCTTTCACTCCCTGGCACCCCCGACAGATATTCTATTTCTGGTTCTCAAGACAAACTGCATGCCCTTGGAGAAAAACAGGTTATTGGTTCCAAAATTCACTTTTATGGCAGGGCTATTCGGTGGCCCTGCAGAGTAGCTGCATTCTGTGGCCTTGGTTATGATAAAGAGACAAAGAAACTTCTTTCTGGAGCCTCTGGGGGAAGGGCTGAAACCCAGCCTGTGCTGAGTAGACTGGCATGCACCCGTGCCTCCCAACGTCCTACACAGCCTCCCCTAGTCCCATTGCCCCTGGCACATTGCTGCCCATGTGAAAGGTTCATTTCATGTCTGGGCTGTAACAGCTGTGGTGTTCCTTCTTTGTCCTAGGATCTGTTGCTGATGGCTTTTGCAGCAGGAAGGCAGGTGGCTGACACCAGCCTGGTCTCACAAGGGTCTCTGCAAAATGAGTGGGGACGGCTGGTCAGTGAGTCTCATGCTTCATCCACTGTGCTTTTAATTTATTTACCTTGAGATAATCCAAGGAGAGAGGAGAGGATTAGAAGTGTGTGGTGTGACATGACTTGGTGGTGAGTGGTCGATTATGTACACGTTTCTGCTCCTGGGACCAATTTCTAGGGGATACCAAGGATAGCCAAGTTTGATTTATTTGTTCAAATATAGGTATGATCAAGAAATGTTCTAAATAAGGTGGTGATTTACAGCATCGATTACGGGGTTCCCTCTGATCGTTTGATTAGGTCATAGGAATTTGAATTTCTACTGAAGCTTTACTTTCAGAGTTCCCTGCCGTTTCCTCTCAGTGTGTCAGAGCACAAATTCCTAAAAATATACCCCAAAAAGTGTATCTCAGTACACTATGATTTGTTCACCTTAGGAATTTAGAATACAGTATTGGCAAAGACACCAGAACATAGTTTGGGATGGAATAAAGGTTTCCTGATTGTTCTAGACTGCCAATCTAAAACTGTTCTCCTTTTATCTTAGAGTGTCCATGATTGTAGCAATTATCTCTGAAAGATTTTTGTCCACACTGATTTGAATGAAATTTTCTGGAGCTGATGGGGGCTCCAGAGTATCAAACTGGGACTGCAGTAATTCAGGAGGCATGAAATGTCCTTTTCTTTTGAGTAAGCGTCCAGAGATGACCTCAAAAGACCCATTCAGATGGACCACGAGGAGCTTCACCTCAGCTGGCTGTTTGTCCTTCCCTGTCCCATCAGACTTCAGAGGTGTGTCATCTTTTCCTCGTATTAAGATGTCTCTGTACATTTTCTTCAGACCTGAACAGGCTAGAACCACATGCTGTCCGGAGGCTACATCTCTGTTAAAAAAGGGGGAGTGGGACTAAGAATAAGGACATTGAAAATCATTGGTGTCAATTCTAGGTTGAAGACTCCGGTCCTACTTCTCTGCCAGTGGAAGGCATTACAAAATGGCAGACAAGTATCAGGCAGTCCAGGCTTTAAGGTAAAGCTCTTCCTTCTGCTAGTGAGCTGAGCCATCCCTTGGGCAAGGTATTTACCTCCCTGAGCATCAGTTCATTTTCTGCTAAATGGGACTACATAGAGTACCTGTCCATAGAATTGTGAGAAAAAGTTTATCAAGATGGCCAGGACACAGGAAGTGCTCGGTAGGTGTCAGCTGTGCTGTGAATGTAGGATGTGGCTCAGCCACCACTTGTGGACATGGACACACACGTCAGCTCAGGTTCTCTACAGGTGTTCAGTGATATGAATTTTACAACTGGGTTTTCCCAGTATGCTGGAAGTCGGGTGAAGTTACCCATGGAGAATTGGAGAAAGCAGGAGAAAAGGGAGTATCAGACTCTGTGTGGTCAAGATGAGCAAGAGATGAGAAGCTTCCAGGGATGTTCTAAGAAAAAAACCTGAGCCAGAAATAGACGCAGAGTGATAAGGCACCAAAAAGGGAAAGCAGCATGCGCCGACACTGCACAAGGAAGTGAGCCCCCAGTTCCACCAAGCTGCTGTGTGCCCCCCTGTCTGTGGGCAGGAGAGGCAGTCATTTTTGGCTGGGAAGGGACTCAAGACGTGAAGGGTAAACCGTGACTTGGGAACTTGGTAGAATGTTTGCTTTAGAACGGAGGATTCTGAAGGGGTCTGCTTCTGACCTACAGCCAGTATACACTTGAGATTCAGTGGATGGAATGCATCATAAGCAACAAACTTATGTACCTGAGCCTTCTGGCTTTTCCCAGAGGCCATGGGTGAGAGCTTGGTTATTCTGGGTCTGATCACTGCTCTCCTGAGGATCTTCACTTCTGCTTCCATCACAGGTCAGTGTATTTTATCTCTGACAAGCCTATTTGTATTAGAGACTCAGGTGGGTAGGATTTCTCAAACCCTGAAACCCTAAACTCCAAACCTCTGCAAAGACAGGGTTGCCAGCTGCGTCGGTGCCATGTGAAAAAGTAAACTGAATTTTTAAGGTGAAGTATATTCTAATTGCATATGGTGCAGATGGTTTTAGATTTATAAAATATGAAATATCTTCATTTTAGAAAGCAAGATTTCATTTAGAAATTTTAGAAGGCTTGCTTTCTTTTAGAAAAATCTTGCTTCATTTGCTAAATGAAATCTTGCTTGCTTGCTAAAATCTTGCTTCATTTTAGAAGAAAGCAAGATTCTCACCTTCTGCCCCTCCCCACACTTCTCTCTCTCTCTCAAAAACAAATATTGTTTTGGCATTAACAGCTTTTTTTTTCAAAGGCCATTTAGAGTGATTCTCCTTTGAAAAATAAGCTCACATTGAAATGAACATCACTGTGGTCACCCTTGGGTGTCCTAACATTGTCACCCGTAATTATGTGTGGGTTATAGATAGGGCAGAATCCAATGAACTTTCCAATTCAAAGGCTGCGATTTATATCTGATTAGATTTATATTTGTTAACCCTGGCAGCAAAGTTGTATTTTTTTAGCTTGGGTTTAAATCATTTTTACTAATATTGATTAATTATAAATTGCTAAAAAAAATTATAAATTGCTATAAAATTGTTTTATTAAGCATGATCATGTTTATAAATTGCATTCATAATGAAGCAAATGGGGCAAAATGTTAATAGGTGGAGGATATGTAAAAATTCTTTTGTACTGCTCTTGCAACCTTCCTGTAAATTTGAAAGTGTATTAAAATTTAAAAGTTATATAAATTGCATTGACAAAAAAAAAAGCAAGCAAGATTTTAGAAAGCAAGATTTATAAGCTATTCCCTGCCTTTTCTTTATCCTTCTCCACATCCCAACCAGGATTCCTAGGGGTCAGGTCCCCAGATGGGTGGAGGGGACCAGAGGCACAATACAGAGCAGGACAGTTTGGGACTGCAGTTCTGGTGACCAATTATCTGTTCATTTACAAATGATCCCAGGTCTTTCCTGGTTGCCACAGCTTGAAGTAGGGGGAAGAAGTAGTGACCAAGATGTGACTAGAACCGTGGTAGCATCAGTTACCACCTCTCCAGCACTTACTGTGTTTTAGATACCGTTCTGAGTGCCTCCCATACTTCATCTCACTAATTCTCACAATAATCTGTAAGAACTATATTTATCCCCATTTTCAAATGAAGAAATGTGCTTATGGAAGCCAGTTGATCAAGATTTCTAGATGATAACTGTGAAGCTATCTAGAAGGTTCATCTCCAGAACCCAACTAAATTACAGGTGGATTCTGGCTGATTTAAATCATTGTTGGTTACTTAACAGAAGTCCACTCCATTTCTGGGATCCTTAGTCACCAGCCAGTTGTGACTTCAGGAGTGTATTTTTTTTTAATTTTATTTATTTTTTCATGATAGACATAGAGAGAGAGAGAGGCAGAGACATAGGCAGAGGGAAAAGCAGGCTCCACACAGGGAGCCCGATGTGGGACTCGATCCTGGGACTCTAGGATCCTGGGCCGAAGGCAGGTGCTAAACCACTCACTGAGCCACCCAGGGATCCCCATGCCTCTCCTTTTTGATGAGTTTTCTTTACCTGTTGGCTATCAAGGCCTGATGCTCTCTTACCTTAGTAAAATGTCATGTAAGTTGCAGAGCCATGGAATCCTGTCCTGAAATTAAAGCAGACACAAGTGACTTTCCCAGATACTGTTTATTTGTGTAGAAATACTGTTAATCATGTTCATCAGTGAGAAATCTTAGTGATTTTGAGGGTAGGCCATGCACAAGGCTGCTGCGGGGTCAAGTCTCTGGGCAGTTAAGCACAGCAGCGTTATGATGGGATTAGCGCCCTTTCAATAGACCAGGGAGCTAATTTGTGCTCTCTCTCCTGTGCTGTAACCGCTCCTCTTTCCCACACCTGTGAGCCAGGGAGAGGACCCTCACCAAGAACCTGACGATATTGCAGCATATTGATCTTGGGCTTCTAGCCTCTAGAACTGTGAGAACTGAAAGTCTCCTGTTTAAGCCCCCAGTCTGTAGTATTCTGTTACAGAGGTCCAAGCTGACCAAAATTCATCTGAAAAACCATCTGGGCCTGGGGCCATTTTGAGGAGAGATCTCTGATTACAGATTCAGTTTTTTAATTTTTAATTTTATTAATTTTATTAATTTATTTTTCTTCAGTTTTTTTAACGAACATCGTGTTATGTTCAGGTTTTCTATTCTTGATTCAGTTTTGGTATCTGAGGTAGCAGGAAGGGATGACACATACAGTTAGATCTCTGGACTTAAGATCTTCTGATTCTTAAGCCAGATGCAGCATCAGCAAGGTCTTATTTCCATTTGTGGGGGGAGAAGTGGACTCATCCCCAGCACCAGGTCACTGCCATCCAAGCCCATTTTCCCACAGTAATTTATATTTTTCTAAGTTGTCCAATTTAAGTCTTTAAATTTACTAACAGTTTATTCACAGCCTTCTTTTCATCCCTAGTCTTTTTTTTTTTTTTTTTTTAGATTTTTAAAAAACTTATTTATTCATGAGAGAGAGAGAGGCGGAGAAGCAGGCTCCATGTAGGGAGCCCGACGTGGGACTCGATCCCGGGTCTCCAGGATCACGCCCTGGGCTGAAGGCGGCGCTAAACCACTGAGCCACCCGGGCTGCCCCTCATCCCTAGTCTTAATTGTGCTTCCCCCCCCCCCCACCACTCTTGATCAGTCTCATTAGAAATTTGTCTTTTTATTTTTTCAGTCAGCATTGCTCATCACTAACAATGGGATTAGCTTTTGTTCCTTTGTTCTATATTTCGTTAATTTCAGCATTCACTTCTATTTTTTTCTTACATTCTTTTTGTTTATTGTTTTTCCTCCTTGAACACTTAACTCATTACTTTCCATTCTTATTGTTTTTCCGGAAATGCATTCATAGGGCATACATTTCCTTCTAAGTAATGTTTCAACTGCATCCCGTAAGTTTTGGTTGGCAGCACTTTTTTTTTTTAAGATTTTATTTATTCATGAAAGACAGGCAGAGACACAGGCAGAGAGAGAGGTAGGCGCTCTGCAGGGAGCCTGATGAGGGACTCCATCCCAGGACCCCAGGATCACGCCCTGAGCCAAAGGCAGATGCTCAACCACTGAGCTCAGTGGTTGACTGAGCTCAACCACTGAGCTCAGTGGTTGACTGAGCTCAACCACTGTCCAGGCGTCCTGACAGCACTTTTTGTTGTACATTTCTAAATAGAGGGAAGGGCATAATCTAAGACTAGGAGTATTAAAGATGGTGTGCGGAGACTCTTGAGTAAATGAATGAAGCAGATGCTGCTTAGCACTGCTGAACAGGAGGTGTGGGGGTAAGGAAGGTCAGGAGAAGCCTTGTGGACCGGGTGGTCAAGGACCTGAGTGACCTGTTAAGGAGGTTGGACTTTGCCATAAGGATTTTAGGGAGGACTTGGGGCATGAGCTCCAAATTTTGTGTTCACATTTGTGACAAAAAGGGAGTGACTGAGATCTCTTCACAGAAGCAGAAATTGGAACAAGAAGGAGATATTAGAGCAGATTCACTCATTCTAAGTAGTTACTATGGATGGTAGGATAAATTATGGAAGTCAAACACACAAAGAGTCTTAGGGGAAGAGAAGAGGAAACAACATAACTGAAATGAGCATTTCTGCTCATTCAGACCCATCTCTGCCTGCTGGGTCTGACATTCAATGTCATCTCATTGTGGGTGGTGTGCCCCCAGCGCCAGTTCTGTGCATGCAGGCGTTCATGCAGGAGTTAGAGCATCAAGAGGACAGAGAAAGATTCCTGGGCCTGTGAGTGATATGATGGAAACCTCTAGATACCTGTGGTTCTCCTGGGAGGGGACGGTGATTAGAGGGAGAAGGGGAGCTAAACTCAGAGGAACAACTCAGAGGCCAAGTATGTCCAGCACTGCTGTGGGAGGCGGACAGAGCAGAAGGAAGGAGCAGGAGGGGAAGAGCAGGGGCAGGGACTGGTTTTTACCTGGTGTGAAAATAAACGTGAGACCACAGAAGAAAGCATGTAAAAAGAATATATACCCCAAAAAAGATAGGAAAAAAAAACCTCCAAAATTTGTAGAGGTTTTTGAAAGATAAAACCAAGGGTGACGTATTCTGTAAAGATGTTTTTCAGTACTTTCCAAATTTTCTATAAACAGAGCAAGTATTACATTTATAATCAGGAAAATTTTTCTCAAAAAACCCTCATTGAACAGACTTTGCAGTCTGCTTACATGTCACCGTGGGCGTCCGGACACACGGACCTGGGTCGGGGGGTGGGAGCTCGCAGATGCTTGATCATCATCATCATCACACTAACATCGTATCACAGCCTGGGGGGCACATTTCTCTAGGCCAGGGCCATCCACTAGAGCTTTCTGTCATGCCTCAGTGCCATCTGGATGGTGGCCACCAGCCACGCTTGAAATGTGGTGGTGTGACCCGAGAACTGGAGCTTACATTTATTGTATATTCATGTACATTTAAATAGCCTTACAGAGCCCTTGGAATATTCAATGCAGGTTCTTGCTCTTCAAACCCCAGGCCTGCCCGAGCCTCCCCAAGGAACCTGTACCTCTGCCTTGACTTTCCCCTTGGTCCTCCTCACGGGGTCACCAGGGCAGGACTGGTCACTAGGGTGACCCACAGGGCCCTGGGTGCCAGCCTGGCTGAAGCCCACACCTTCACTCTCGGCTGAGCTCTCCTCAAGAACGTGATCCCTCTGCCATCCCAGCTCTTTCTCTCCCTAAAGAGCAAGTCTAAAGTCTGGCTAAAAGGTGCAGTTTCTCCTGAAGGTATTTAGTGACTCATAATGTTTCTTCCAGTGACTGATAACCTTTCCTTCCATACAAGAAATTCCTCTTCTGAACTCTACCTCCCTGTCCCCCCACCATCCATCCTGCCCACTTAACAAGCCTCGCTTGTGAACAAGATGAAGGATGTTCAAATGGCATTTGGGTTGCTTTACTTCGTTCTTTAACTTTTATTTGCGTTCACCAAGGAGAAAAATAACACTGCCACAGTCACATTTCACACACTCGGTAGAAATACCCATAAAGTATGGATGGATTCATTAGTGACAAGCATAAGTGATATTTATTAAATGCTTTGGGTACTTCACTGTGCATATTTTTTTTTAGTAGCATCTCATTTAATCCAAGAACCCACTAAAATGGGTCCTGTTACCATCCTTACTTCACAGGAGGAAAATGAGGCACAGAGAGACTAAGCCATGTGCCAAAGGCCACACAAGAGCCAGGTTATCTGCACCAAGTCTTTATCTCTGGTATAACATTATTATGCCTCAGTTATTATTCTGTATCTCTTTTATGGTTCCCTCCACCAGTCTTCTAAAATCAAATGTCACAAACTTAATTTTGATGGTTCAAAGTCTGAATCTTTGCCAACACAGGCCGTACTCCCAGAAGTGTACACTCAGAGTCCCTAGAATTAGACCCAGTGATGGTGGGGGCTCTAATGCCTTGAGGCAGGACAAAGGGGACAGAGTGAGCTAGTGGCAGCGTAGTCGCAGTTTTGGGCTCTGGCCAGCTCTGCTCAGTTCCTGCCCTTTGGACACGTCCCCTGCAGGGGTGTGGATGATACCTTTGTGTCTCCTGGGCCACAGCTAGTTATGCCAGCCAGGCCAGTTTGTACCTCTGCTCTGGGAGGGGCCCTTAGGAAATGGCCTCGTGACAGTACTCCTCATTTCCTTCCTTCTCTCCATCACGCGTTCACTCACAACTGAGTCACAAGTATCTTCTGACCTTCGCTGTGTGGCCTGCCCTGGGGGTATAGGACAGTTAACAGGCCCCAGTTCTTGCTCTTTCAGAAGGAAAATCTAGTTGCAGAAATAAATATGAATCAAATTCTCAAATGCCAAGTTGCAACCAGGACCAGGGCTACACGGGCCCCTGGTGCTATGGCTTATTGCAGGAGATTTTACTTCATTCAGTAGGTCCAGGAGGGCTTCCCTGAAGAAGTGGCATGGGAGCTGAGCTGTGAGTATATATAGGAGTGGGGTTAACAGAAGAGGGGACAGAAGTGTATTCCAGATAGTGGGAAAGTAGATGCAAAGGCCCTGTGGGGAGGAGCAAGGCAGTAGGAACGATTGATTGAAAGGGGCCCAGGGGCTCTGGTGGAGGAAGGAAGGTGGGCACAGCACCGAAGATACTGGAGTGGGGCATTTGGAGGCGTTTGGGTATTTGGTCTTGACCTTGAGATGGATGGGAAACTTCCAAAAGGCTGGATTTGAATTTGTAATGATCTTTCTGGCTTTGGGGTGGATGCGAGTCTGCACCTGTGGCTGAAAGGCCTGAGGAGGGGAGAAGGCATGTGTCTGCACAGGAGGGCCTCTGCCCTCTTGGGAATTACATCCCATAGGTTAAAAACCTGCAAGGATGCATCATCCAGGTGGGCCCTGCCCAAGGAGGGGCGAGGTGGGACCCCTCCTCACTCTGTTCAGGACAAGTTCAGGACCAAAGCTGACATGCATGCAGGACCCCGGGCTGTGCATGATCATCTCTGGCGTGAGCCCTTCTACACCAAGAGAGCTCTACCTGCGGCTCCCGGCTGGAAACAGAGGCCAGATGTTACCTGGTCATTCAGTGGGATCCCTTTTCCCATCTTCGTTCGATTTTCCTCTGGGTGATAGTCGTCCGCATCATAGAATTTCCATCCTAGCTTTAAGAGCAAAGCGAGAGGGTGTACGTGGCAGGCAGTGTGGCCCATGTGACAACCACCACGACTGATACTACCAGGCAGGTGTGGGAACGGGCAGCCCGAGGACCACCCACCACCCTGTCTCCCCTCCCCCTCCTCCCCCCAGACGCAGGAACAGGGGCTGTGATGCCACCTCACTGTCCCTGTTCCCTGGGCTGCTGCTCCTTTCATTCATCACTATTGGTAATCACAAGAAGACCAACATGCCTCCACTGGGTTTCAGAAGCCACATCTGTGGTGAGTTTTACAAACCACTATGGGCCAGAAGAAGGGTGCTGAAGGGAGAGAAGCAAAGAGCATAATGGGCCTCGCCTTTGGGAAGCAGCACAACACATTACCTCGGATGCCAGCAGGGCGCCCACGGTCGATCTGCGGAGAGGACACAGAGGTTCGAGTGACTGCCCTGCCCAAGCCCTGCGTGCCTCCCACCATGAGGGGTACCTTGGGAGACAGACAGCCACCTTGCCGTGTTGAGACCCCATACTTTTTTGATATTGAAGCAGTGACAGTAATGCTCTCAGCCCTGGAATCCAGAGCATGACATTTGTGTTCTTCAGGAATTTAAATAATTACTGAGTTACCACTAATTTTCTCTTCCAAAAAGCAATATGTAAGATCTCATTAAACTCCTTAAGTTCTTTGGTCCCTGTTTTAGAGATAATTATATTTTGAGAAAAAAATACTGAATAGAGATAAGGTTTTACTGAGGGTACTGGAAGGAGGGGTCTGACTGGGCATTTAGCCTCCCAGCACAAGGTTTAAGGAGCTCATAAAAGCATTAACACCGTGTTTGGGGTTTAACAGAGACACCCTCTTAAAGAATAAAATAAAAATCAGAATGAGAAGTCAGCCTGGGAGGTAAATGCTCTTTGTGCAATGCGTGTGACAAGGATCTGTTGCTGCCCTTCCAGGCAGCACTCTCGATGAGAAGGGCTTGGGGTCTCAGCCCCTCACCTGCAGAACAGGGAACTGAACTACATGTATCCACTCACTGCTCGTTTCACTCAACCAGTACTTACTGAGCACCTGCTAGTCCCCGGGACAGAAAATAATGAAAATAAGACCCTGCTTATAGTCTAGCTGGATTCTGGGGTGCTCTTTTTTGTGAAGAGGTATGGGGGTGGGTGTTCAAGCACACCAGCTGAGACCTGCTCCCTGATGTAACCAAAGGACTGAAGAGGATTGGAATTTCTCCCATTAGGTTCACTGTGCTGAAGCTTGCGTCGAGTGACATATCACAGCCAACTGGTGACGAGCCCCATGGCTGGTGAAGCCGGAGCTGTGCATACCAGAAATTACACTGAAGTCTAAGATCAGCCAGGGATGAAGATGTCAGCCACCAATCGCAATTTAAAAGAAGTGCTAGGGACGCCTGGGTGGCTCAGTGGTTGAGTATCTGCCTTCAGCTCAGGGCGTGATCCTGGGGTCCTGGGATTGAGTCCCGCATCAGGCTTCCTGTGAAGAGCCTGCTTCTCCCACTGCCTGTATCTCTGCCTCTCTCTCTCTTTCTGTGTCTCTCATGAATAAATAATTAAAAATAAAAAAGTGCCAGTTAGATTTGGGTGTAGACTGGTGGGGAGGAGAAAGAAGGAAAAGAAAAAGCCACTATCTCCTGCTCTATTCAAACCTAAACCAGAGAAAACAGGACTCGACATGGACATGGAAAGGGACCTGCGGCAGAAATAAGGCACAGTGCTCGCTCAGAGGAGACTGGTTGGAGCAAGCATCACACACCAGAGCCCAAATGTCTCTAAGCATATTGGTCTAAAGCAGGATCAAGGAGACTGAAAAAGACTGTAGGACAGTAGTGGTAGTTGGGGCATAGATTAGGTGCGAAAGATATTCAAAAGGTTGGAAGCTGAGAGTGGCTTCACGAAGGCTGTTAAAATATAAAGAAAACAAACATTGTCAACTACTCAAATAGCTCTGTTCAGTCATTTGTTCATTCATCCATTAAGTTAGCAAATATTTACTGGGCATCTACTACATGCCAGGCATTGTTCTAGACAGGTCAGTAAACGAAAAGGAAAAAGATCCCTTGAATTCAGGTACGGGAGGGGGAGGCAGTAAACATAGTAAATAAGTCAAATTATTGGTTGACATTGTTACTTGTTTAACTACAATCTTTCTGGTTTGAGACTTGTTCTCTGGAGTCATTTCTTTCCTCACAAATGTTACGGAGAATGATTTAAAGTCCTGCCAGGCCCTAACAAGGGTTCACAAAAGTCCCCGAAGAAATGAATGTTGCTATATCCACTGATCAATATAATCATTCTCATTTTATTACTCATTTATCCCTCAGCGACAGTTGACACTAAACTTTAACCATCAGAAGGCTCAGGGCTCAGTCCTTGGCCAGCTTCTTTATCTTTACTCCTGCGACGATCTAACATTTTACATCTTTAAGTTATATCTGAACCAAGGATTCCTACATTTGTATCTGAAGTTCCCCTCCTGAACTCCGGACTTGGGTATCCCATCCACCACTTGACAAACCCGCCTGGATGACTGACAATTCACCACATCCCACATTGAGCTCATGCTATTTTTTTCTCCAAACCTGCTCTGCTTCCTGCTTCCCCATCAGTCAATAGTAACTCCCTTCTTCTGGTTACCCAAGTCAAAAATCCTTAAGTCATCCTTGACACCTTTCTCCCTCTCTCCTACCCCACATCCAGTCCAACACACCTTTCTGGTTCTGCCTTCAGAACATCCCCTGCTTATGACCACTTCTCTTCACCTTGTTTCTCTGACCTCATCTCCCATCACTCAGCCGCAATGGCTTCCTTGGTAGTCCACTATACAACAAAGCCCCTGGGCATTTGCACTTGCTAGATTCCCTCTGCCTATATTGTCCTTTCCCTAGCTAGCCATCAGGCTTAGTTCCTCACTTTTTATGGGTCTTGCTCAAATACCACTGCCTCAGAAGAGCCTTCCCTCGCCATCCTGCCTGCTGTTTCTTTATCCTAGTTTCTCTCCTTTATTTTCCCCTGGAGCACCTACCACTGCCTAGCACACTATATACATGTATTTATTCACTTCCTGTCTCCCATACTAGAATGTAATTTTATTTTAAAGGATTTTATTCACCTATTCATGAGAGACACAGAGAAAGAGGCAGAGACAGAAGGAGAGGCAGGCTCCCCTCAGGGAGCCAGATGTGGGAACCGATCAGGTAACCAGGATTACACCCGGTGAGCCAAAGGCAGACAGATGCTCAACCACTGAGCCACCCAGGCATCCCTAGAATGTAAACTCTTTGAGGGCAGGAATTTTACCTGTACTCTTCACTATATATCAGTGACAGAGTCGGGATTGGGCTCTATAGTTACTGAATGCATGAATATTGGAAGCATATAAATCATATGGTTCAGACCCCCCCCCCCAAGGCAGAGAGGGGCACGTGAATTGCCCAAGCTCACACACCCAGGCAGCAGCATCAGAACAAGGCCTTGGGTGCTTAACATCCACTACATCCCAACATAGAAGCAATCTTACATTCTTCAACTTCTTCAAATCATACAACAGCTAAGGATTCTTCAGGCTCCTTGTTTTATTTCAAGACTCTCCAAAATAATTTCCCAAGAGATAAGGCTAAAAATGCCTCAATAACTTTGAAGACCTATACTTTCCTAACCTGGAGCAAGAAAGAGTCTTTAATTCTACATTTGACCACACAAGCGGTTCCTGGCTCAGAAGATTCTAGAAGGATACTGTAGGCCTTTGAAGTTATGCTATTTCACCGGATTCCGGTGTGTCTTTTGCTGCCTGTGGCAGAATGCGGCGGCAGCTGCCTTTTCCGGTAAAGGGCACAGCTTGATTTTGGTCTGATAAGAAGCCAAAGTCTAGCTCCCAGCCCCGCGGTTGGCCAGGCGGTGTTCCTCCTTGCACACCCTTAGAGGGTTTTGTGACTCCCTGTTATTAACACTGACTCCTTCCAGTTAAAGCTGAAAAACGCTGATCACAGCAGAGAAAACAGACGCGAAGGTGAAATTCCCTTGCTCTCTAAAGTCTCAGGATGGAAGTCCAGCACCTCGCGGGAGGGAGCGGCCGCTCGGCCCGGCCCGCCCGAGGTCTGCGGAGGCCCGGACCCGGGTTGCCCCTGGCACCCTGCACCCTCCACCCTGCACCCTGCACCCTCCACCTCGTTCTGACAACAGGCTCCCAAACCCGGGCCCTGTGACCGCCGGGGTCACCGCGGGCGGCGCCCCAGCAGGTGCTTCTTCACAAAGGGCTCTCGCCGGGCAGGTCGGAGGGTGGGGAGAGGGAGCGGGTGCCCCGGGCCTCAGCCGCCTCGGCTGCAAAGGCCAAGCCGGGGGTGCGCAGGACCCGTGGGCCCCGCGGGCGCCGAGCGGCGACAGCCCCCGCCTCCGCCGCGCGCCCCCCCGACCTACTTCCCCGAGCCGCTCACGCCCATCACCAGCAGCACGTCGGGCGCCGCCATGGCCCGCAGTCGCGCTCCTTCCCGCCGCCTGCCGGGGCCCGGCCGCCCGCCCAGCCTTCCCGGGCACCGGGGGCCGAGCGCTGGGCGCGGGGCGGGCTGGACGACTCCGCCCCCGCCGCGCCCCGCCCCTCGCCCTCAGGCCGGCCCCGCCCCTCGCCCCGCCCCCGCCCCGCCCCGCCCGGTCCCCGGCTCGGTGCCCCACTGGGTCGCCCGCGGTGGCGGGGAAGTGCAGCTACAGGCCGGCAGGAGCGAGCCGACCCCCAGCCCCTCCACCTGCTCTTCTCCACCTGCCGTCCTCCTCTCCGATACCCCTGCAGGGGAGCCTCGCCCAGGTCCTCCTCCACCAAATGCAAATAGCTTTGGGTTTTTTTTTAATTACAGAAAGAAGAAGCTCACACTCTCCCGCACCATGCAGCAATAAACATCCATCGCCCTTTTCAAAAATTCATTTCTTCGGTTTTTCATCATAAGTGTAAACATCCATTCTTAAAATGATCCCTCCTCCCGTATAAACAGGTGGGTATGAACACTTTATGAAATTGGGATCACGCTGTACACAGAGTATCATAAACGGGCATTTTGTTACAATTATAAGCGGCAGGCATCTTTTGGTGTCGTATATAGATTGGACCATAGTGGCACATGTCCTGGCTGTATGGCTCTGCTTCTTCTTATTATTTTTTTAGAGAGATTTTATTTATTTGTTCATGAGAGAGACACAGAGAGAGAGACAGGCAGAGGGAGAAGCAGGCTCCATGCAGGGAGCCCGACGTGGGACTCGATCCCGGGTCTCCAGGATCACACACTGGGCTGCAGGCGGCGCTAAACTACTATGCCACCAGGGTTGCAGGGCTCTGTTCTTTAATCTGGCTCCTGTTCTCAGGTAAATTACTTAAGGGGAGGACTATCCCTTTGGGGACTCAAGGGGACTCAATCCCCTTGAAGGCCCATTTGCTCTAGAACACTGTGGTAATTATGTGTCATTTAAAATATTTGATTAAGAGCACTTCGCTGACATTCTGTCCAACCTCCTCTGTTAACCAAGTTCATATTACAGTGTCCTCAAAAACAATAAAGCTGACATAAAGCACTTATCTAATGAGTATTCCAATTAGCCCTATACTAACTTTGTTTTATTCCTACTTAGCCAGAGTGGGTATTCCTGGATAGGCACCAGTCTGAAGAAGTTGAATCCTGGAGAGGAGGTGACCTGCCGAAGGTCTTACAATTCAGTTATGGCTGATGAACATATCTTGAACATCTATCACCCACAGGACTCCAAATATGAATATTGCTGTCCAGATGCTGCCAGGTAGATGGGGAATAGATGAAAGCAAATGCTGTTACTTGTGCTCTGCTTTTTGGCATGGACAATAAGTTCACATTTCTTTCAAAGTTCAAATCAGAATGAATAGCAGAAAGTCTAGTTTTTCTCTCCAAATCTTCCTCCCAAGATAAGTTCAAGGACCTCAAATTTGCTTTACTAGTCCAGGCAGTGGCAGGAAGCAGCACACTCAAGTTGGGTTGTTTGTAAAGGGTTTAACAAAGGGACTGTTTACAGAGATGCAGGTGGGGTCCGTTAAAGCACCAAGGGGCAGTGCCCTGTTTCCAGTAACTGACAGGAAAAATAGCCTTAGCAAGACAGAGACAGATACCCCCTTGTTGACCCAAAAGAGAAAACCAGGAGAATAAATGACCTCCCTTCCCCTTCTTTGGTCTTCTGATCCTCTGCTAGTGATCAAACCTCACCATCTAAACCTAATTGGAAGGCAGAGTCCGGGTCTGTTGAGTTGGCCCATGCATGCCCATCTCCCAGGCACAGAGCAGGGAAGAGAAAGATGGAGAGTATATGGCACAGGAAAGATAGCACTTCTGCTCTCCAGTCAGTGAAATAATCCTCCTGTGCATGCTTCCAGGACAGAACTCAGAGGTGCACCTTAGAGCTAAATTTCACCTTTTTGTTGTTATTGTTGTTTTTGGCTTCTGAAGAGTGGTCCTGGTAGTCTCAGAGCTTCTCACATGTTACTAATGGGCAACCCTGAGGCTGAACATCCATCTGGTATTAGGTCCCGTCTGTATACTACAGGAACTGCTTTAATAGCTGAGCCACATGATACCCTGGGAACCGGAAAAGACCCTTGATGAAGCTTCCTGCATGTGCTACCTGGTGACCCAAATCCAGATCACCCCCATATTGAGGACAACCCACACTGTCTAGTAAATGGTGGATGTGGAAGAGCTTCTATAGGCAGCTACCCCTTCCACAGGATAAATGGGTTGCAGTTGGGAACACTTTCTATTCTTTTTTTTAAAAGATTTTATTGATTTATTCATGAGAGACACAGAGACAGAGCGGCAGAGACACAGGCAGCAGGAGAAGGAGGCTCCATGCATGGAGCCCGATGTGGGACTCAATCCCGGTATTCTAGGATCACCCTAAGATAGCACCTTGAGTTGAAGGCAGATGCACTTAACCACTGAGCCACCTTCCTTCCCTGGGAAGCAAATCAGCTACTAGAATGGCTGGGTAGGGCAGATATTCCCATAAAAGGTGCCTTGGAAATCTGATATATCTCATCAAGAAGAGGCAATATCTCTGTACCTCTTCCCTTCCAGAAGAGTGCTTGATACTGATTAAATTTTGAGAATTCAAATAGATGCATGGGAGGGGTGCCTGGGGGGCTCAGTAGGTTAAGCAGTTAAGCATTTGCCTTCAGCTCAGGTCGTGATTCTGGGGTCAGTCTAGACCCACATCTGCCTCCCTGGTCAGCAAGGAGTCTGGTTCTCCTTCTCCCTCTGCCCCTTACCCTCAGCTCATGTTCTCTCCCTAGTAAATAAATAAAATCTTTAAAAACAAACGAAAACCAACTAGATGCATGGGAGAGCTCCACAGATCCAATCCAGGATCATAGCTAATCTCCAGAGTAGCCTGTTACCTGCTCTTCTGGAGGTAATGGCTGTGTACTTGCTTCGCATCTTCATAACTAAAAAGGATCACATGACAGGCCCAGAACAAAGTTTACACAAAGGCAAAATTATTTCTATTATCTCAGTAGATGCAGTAAAAAGCATTTGACAAAATTCAACATCTCTTCATGGCCAAAACACTCCATGATCTAGGGATACAAAATCCTCAACCTGACAGAGGGCATCTGTGGAGCACCACAGCTAATATCCTACTTAGTGGTAGACTGTTTCCCCTAGGATGAGGAATAAGCAAGGATGTGTCTGCTTTCACCACTTCCATTCAACATTCTAGTAGAGGTTCTAACCAATGTAGTTGGACAAGAAAAACAAAGGCATTCAGATTGGAAAGGAATGAATAAAACTGTGATTCCAGATGATGTGAGTTTGTAATGTAGAAAATCCTTAAGCATGCATGATGAATCTATTAAAGTTAATAAATGAATTCAGCAGTTAAAGGCTATAAGATCAACATATAAAAATCAATTGTATTTCTACACACTAGCAATAAACAATATGAAAATGAAATTAAAATTTACAACAGCATCAAAAAGAACAAAATAATTAGGGGACAATTTAATAAAATAAGTATAGAACTTGTACTCTGAAAACTATAAAGTGTTATTTAAAAGCTTAAAGATCTAAATAAATGGAAAAACATCTCCTTTTCATGGTTTGGAAGATGTAATGTTTTTGAGATGGCAATACTCCCCAGATTGATATACAAATTCAGTGCAATCTCCATCAAAATCTCAGCTGGCTTCTTTGCAGAAATTGGCAAACTGATCTTAAATTCTTATGGAAATTCAAAGGATATAGAAACAATCTTGAAAAAGAACAAAGTTGGAAGATTCACACTTTCCAATTACAAAACATGCTATACCTGTGTACTCAGAAAGAACAATGTGGCACTGGTGTAAGGATACACATACAGATCAATGGACTAAATCTGATGGTTTGGGAATAAATCCATACAGTCATGGGAAATTGATTTTCAACAAAGGTGCCGGGAAAACGCAATGTGGAAAGAATGGTCTTTTCAACAAGTGATGCTGGGACAACTGGATATCTGCATGAATAAAAATGAACTTAACCCCTACCTAAAACCCGTAGACAAAATTTACTCAAAATGGATCAAAGACTTAAATGTAAGAGCTAAAACCCTAAAGCTGTTAGAAGGAAACATAAGAATAAATCTTTGTGAACTTGGAATAGGCAATTGATTTCTTGACTCTGAAACCAAAAACACAAGACGTAAAAGAAAAAAAAAAAAGGTAAGTTAGATTTCATCACGATTAAATACTTTATGCTACAAAGGGCACTATTAGGGAAGTGAAAAGACAACCCACAGAATGATGGAAAATTTTTGCAAGTCACCTATCTAATAATGGACTTATATTTAGAATATGTAAAGGAAACAATAATAACAAGACAAATTGCCCAATTAAAAAGTGGACAAAAGCTCTTAGTTGATCTTTCTCCAAAGAAGATATACGAATGGAAAATAAATACATGAAAATATGTTCAACATCATTAGCCATGAAGGAAATGTAAATTAAAATGACCATAGATACCAACCACTTTGTGCCCACTAGGATGACTAGAGTCAAAAAGACCCATGCCCTGCCCACCTCTGCTTGAATCTCTGAATCTCAGCACGGCTCTGGCTCTGTGACAACAAGGAGGGCTGGCAGCCCTGGGTTATCTGGAGACAGCTCTGCAGGCAAGAAAGGCCCTGCACACATGCCACTGGCTTCAGAAAGAGTGTCCAAAAGGAGGAACCTAAGGAGCCTCAGGGCACCAGCACACCGAATTTCCAGCACCCTCCTGGGTTTCCAAATCAACCGTCTCAAACTTTCTGGCGTCTTCTCAAATCTCAGATTGCCCTCTGCCCACGGCCTTCTTCACTGTCCACAGAGAACTGAATTCCATTGCCCATCGGCAGAGAGAAGAAAGAAACCTCTGCTTCCTCCCACCATTCCATTAAGATGGTGGTGCTGAGGGGCACGGGGTGACTCAGTGGTTAAGAGGTTAAGTGATTAAGCATCTGCCTTCAGGTCATGATCCCAGGGTCCTGGGATGGAGCCCATGTCAGGCTCCCCATTTGGTGGGGGGCCTGTT